TACGCCATTTTTGTTTTTAATATGCGTTACTTCTACTGCATTCCAGGTCACGTCGAAGCAACTGCTTTTGTGGTAGAAACCGCCCTTGATGCGACAACAGACGCTATATGTTAATGAATTTGGTGAGCCATTATGTAGCATGCATGGATTCTACAATATAAATGGGTTTATTGAGCAACAATAAATAAGTCACAGTTTCGCAGTTTTCGTTTATGACAGCACCACACATTTGCGAATGTTGTTGTTGCTTAACCGGAGTGCCTATAACGTGTGCATCGTTCTATGAAAGGGAAGGTGTCAGCTTCGCGCTTCGTACTAAGTACAGTTCTAATTACCATAAAGCACGCCAAAGGCACAGTAATGAAGGCTTCACATCAGGACACATTGGGATGACCTCTTTAGCGCATGGCAGTGTCGATCAAGCGACAGTTATTGCAGAACCGCAGTCTATGATAAGTAAATTCTCTGAACCGTGATAACGTATTTTTTTTCGGAATTAGCACGTACCATTAATTATTAATGATAAAAGCAGGGCACAATACAAACATAATAGCCCACATTCAGGTTGTCTCAACTGCATTTCACTGCGCTATCTAGAGTGTCCTATCACACCATATAAATTCAAAATTAAGAAAAACAATGTTTCGTGAAGCAGAGGTAGTGCGTGCTGGTTCTAGTACACCAGAGTACACCTTATTATTAGGAGCGAAGCTCCTTAAGGCGTGGGCTGTGCGTCCCCTGTATGTAGCCACCTCTCGTTCAGTTCTAAGTATTACGCTAGCCACCGCCCGATCTAAAGGGTACAGCCATATCCATCCGTCCATCCGTCCATCCGTCCGTCCGTCCGTCCATCCATCCATCCATCCATCCATCCATCCATCCATCATCCATCCATCCGTCCGTCCGTCCGTCCGTCCATCCATCCATCCATCCATACGTCCGTCCATCCGTCCGTCCGTCCGTCCAAAAGATGCAAGATGTTATAAACTAGACGGCGGTACGTGTAGTTGATTATGAAAGATGCGAGGTGTTATAAAATAGGAATGATGCCACATATGGCGCATGTCATCGTTCGATATAGTGCGGCGACGTACGCTAGGGGGAGCGTTGCAATAAAATCGAGTGGGCAAAATGTACGGAGGATTCATGGTTTACCAGGTTTACCTCCGAGCTTCGCCCACTCATCATCATTCACTTCGTGGATATGGCGGCATTTTTTTTTTTCTTCAATGAGGTCTGATTAATTATTTAACCTTATCTTTGTAACTGTACGAGTACCCTCCTAATTATCGAAATGTCCGCGGGGCCTATGTAGGCTTCTTCGGGTGAAATGTAACTGCGTTATTTTCCACAACGCACTGACTGCGGGAATCTTTTGACGAATCTGAAAAGTGACATGTGACTTGGGGGCAGCGGAGCTACGTGTTGATTTTTACATTGCCCGCGTTTTCTTCATCAGCCGGAAAAAGTGCTAACGCAATGAACACGTCCTTGAAAAGTACGCAGCGAGATGTCATTTGACCTTAATTGCATGTGCCTTGTTGACCCACTGACAATTACCCGCCATGGTGGTCTAGTAGTTATGCTCGACTGCTGACCCGCAGGTTGCGGGATTGAATCCTGACCGCTGCGGCCGCATTTTCGAAGGAAGCGAAAATACTTGAAGCCCGTGTACTTATAGTAAGATACATGTTAAAGAACACTACGCGGTCAAAATATATGGAGCATTCGATTACGACGTCTCTCATAATCATATCGTGGTTTTGCGACGTCAAACCCACAATTATAATTCTGACAATTTCTTGAACACTTGTCGAGTGGTAAGCGTATTATGGCTAAATAATTGAACCTAAATAGTGCGAAAATTAGTGGGGGCTACTCCAGTCTACTAGTGAAATATGTGCTAGGGTTTCTTACATAGCATCTTTCTTTTTTTAAATCGGGGGTGTTATAGTTAAGACTCATTGTATACCGAATGTAATTGAACTGCGTGCATACTTTGCAGAAATTAACTCGAATCTATGATAGAGTTATTAAGTTAGCTCCATTTATTTATCCTTGAAGGTGCCCTCCTCCTAGCTTCTACGATCCTTATCTCACCTACCCCGGTGGATGGCCTTTTTGCTGTGGCACAAACCCTCAGTGATATTCCTTGTACGGTAGGTACATCACGTAAAACTAGAGCTCAGTGTTTCAGCAGATTTATTTTAAATTTCGAGCTGGTGTTACCGAGCTTATTTTCGGGAGAAACCCCGGCGTTTATCAAGGTTTATTTCCTACAAATCACGAATTCTTCAAAATTTGGTGTTTAATTTGGCGTTATAAATTGCTGCAAAGTGCTTTCAGTAATTTCGTTTACGAGTAAAATGCATTGCATGGCTGCTGCTAATCCTGTTTTTTCAGCTTCTCATTTTTTCAGCTTGTTAACCATTTCCTACTGGATGTCTCGAATTAGCGACAAACCAAAAAAAATTCGAGCAAGTAAGTCACGAAATGCGTGCCACCTTTATCACCGGCTGCCAAGTACTCACGGGGCATCTATATTTGAGCATGAAAAATATAGCGCAGTCTCGTCGAAGTTATTTTAAGCTAGAACGAATTGTTTTGGAGCTCATGGAGGAAAGCGTGATGCGCGCGCAACAACTCCCACTTCTTCGTTTTTTTTCTCACCTTGGTGACGTAAATTATATCTCCAATAATTTTCTTTACCTGGTGTGTGCGCACTCAAGAGGTGGTACACCACATGTTACGTAGTTATGAAGTATGTTTTTTGTTGCTAGGTCCTCGCTTCTGGGACATATGGAAAATTACGACCTATGCAAAACTATGTATTATAGTTGAATTTTAGATCATTTAACTGCGGAATCATTTCAGGGTTGCCACTTTAAGCTAGAAAATGAACGCAATTTTTATTTTGCTTGACGGTTTCATGATTACGTCATTAAAGGGTTAATTGTTTAAGTACTCTGTTAAAAATGCTGTTGTGCGATGCTGTAAACTCCCCAAGGGTACTTTCGGGGGCCAGAAACTAATAAATCTGCTTTTCAGCTTTGTCTCACAGCCTCCCTAACTTCTTGATGAAAAATAAAGGACAACTATTATTATTGTTCCTAATACTGCGAAATTATAGATGAAATCATATCTCAACAAAAAAAAAACGCACGAATATATTGAGCGTATCTTAAGTGGCCAAAAGGTCTCAACCCACGAGCACATATGCACAGAAGCTCAATATGCTTAAATACAAAACGTATACGTTTTTTAATTACAATCTTAAAACTTGTACTAGACGCTAGCGTATACTTTCACGAGATTGCTGTTGGTGGTAGAGGCGCATTCCTTTTTAAACGATGATTGTCAGCTTTCAAAATTCTCTATGAACGATGAAAATGCCTCTTTAAAATCATTATTTACGTGCAGTCGTCCAAATCTTTATTGAGCATTACGGCGAATTTTCTGCACCAGCGCCACATGACAAGAGGCCAAAAAGTTGTTTTTTGAGAATGTTATATGTGCGTACGCGCTTGTCCTTACCACTTTTTGAATATAATTACGTCATAAGGCGAAAATAAAGGAGACATTGCCACTCGCGCGCAATTGTTCAAGATTGGGGCTACTGTACATCTACCGTTTATTACCGATGCGCTGCGGTGATAGTTGAACCTTGCAGTGTCTGCTAGTTGTAATAAAATTGCTACGTGCAGTGGGTTACATTCGCTGTAAGTGGTCTACCATTAATCATCGACCCTTTACCTTAACCATGTCTGTCCGTCTCACGTTCAGTTAAGAGCATCTGGTAGCAGGCATTGGTCTATTTGTTTTCTGAAGAGACAGTTGCATGCCGTTTGCCCATGGTACAGTGCATACGCTTTCAAGGGCTCCTCTCTCCACTTTACTCTAAATATTTAGCTCATTCTTATGATCGGTTACATGGCGCACATACCGAGACAACTCTCCAGTGCTCTGATACTTTCTACTGTGAGTGGTCTTTTTTTTGCAAAATAATTGAACCTGGTGCCATAATGTCGTATACGCACATCTTGGCCATCTTCAGGGTGTTCGCAGAGGTTGTAAGTGTACTCCATTGGCTCTGAATTAGCAAAACAAGCTCATATAGTCAAACTCCCCTAAAGCATCCACTTTATGATTGTTCATAATCATAACGGGCAATCAGGAAGTGATATTGTCGAATTTCTTTCCTGTATGTTGCGCAGATTGTAATAGCTTCCGAAAGGCTACGCTACAGGGCAAGTTGCACGGCATTAGAGTTTGCTAATTTTTTGCTCGATTTTCAAGCAGCAAAGATCTTCTGGCAGATCGACCAAAAAATTGGGCGAGACCTCACAAGGAAGTATGAAGCCTTGCTTAAGAATATTTAGCTTTAAAATATTTTGAAAGATTGTAATCATCAAATTAAATTGGATTTCTCAATGATCAGTGTTCTACATTGAGAGCGTTCTCAACTTTTCGTATTGAACAAGTCATTTTTTTTTATTTCAGATTCGTTTCAGGCTACGTAAAATTCATAGAATTCGCCTTTGAGCATTCCCACACTTTTGTGATAACCTATTGGTGGCTACTTCAGGAAACTCAGTATAACCAACTAGATGAAAGAAAAACAACAAATCTGCATTATATTGCTTTATTATTTCCATTGCAATCACCTTTATTTAGCGATATTCTGTTATGGTGGGCTTTTCCATACAGTTGGTTCGTAATTGAAAATAAAAAAGTTATCTTCAAGAAGGTTTCTGAGTTGTGGTTTGTTTTTTTCATTAAAGCAGAGATGCTTAAACGCCCTGTGACATCAGAAATTTAAACAGCTTTCTTTCAGTCCACCAGCTGTAACAGTTCTCATAGAACAATAAAAATTTTCTTTAAAGTCAATGGAAGGAGAAGCTCGCGAGCTTTCACTGTAGAGCTCCCCGGTTCAGTTTTAGTCGTCAAATCTTCGTTTTCCTTAATTTACCTCGCCATGTTTTGAATGATCCAGAAAACAGACCATCTTTTTTATTCATGCCACTGTGCTACCTCCATCCCTGGAGTGTTTCTTGAACGCCGACTAGAAAGCTAGGTTCACATTCACCACTTCTAACCAGTTCAACTTCAGAGACAATCAGTTTGACGGAAATCAGCAGTGCTATTTTCGCTGCTCTCCACATCTTTCAGGATTATAGAATACTATATCGGTAATGATACAGGCCAACAAAAAAATCATTTTCGGCTATTTATTTTTGTATTATTTTTCTCCTTGTGTATTCATTTACATAGCGTTACTTTTCTCTCTTTAGTTTGGTGTTGCATAGTATAAAGCGTTGTTTCGCGTTTCACTTATTTCCCTTTGTACCTGTTGTATTGTGGACCAAATAATTTTTTCACTAACTCACTCGCTGGCTTCCTCGTCTATTCAACAGTGTAGCATGTACCCCTCGTGGGTTGGAGCCAGGTTTCCTTAGGCGAGACAACCAAACAGGCAAAAGTTTTTTTTGCAGTTTTTTTTTCAGTGCTACATCTTCATTCCGTAGCAAGTATAGACTCAATTACCAGGACCCAAGCAGCCCACCAAACACCTGGAACCACCAAGAGCGGCTTTCAACACAAGTCCTGTGAAACAATGTCGAGTCATCCAGATGGAATCGGTCTTCATAAAAGCGCTGTTGGACATACTGGCCAACAAGCCGCGTGGCGTGAGCGTAGAACCCAAGAACATCCATCCACTACGCGGTAAACGGCGGCGGCAGAGTGTGGACCCAGTTTCTAGTCAAGCATCGGGGATTACCAGGCACGACCACTGAAATGTACAAGAAGCGAAATTTCGCTATCTAAGCTCACAAGAGTCCGGTTAGTGAAATTCCTTCGAAAAGGAACCGCATTAAGATGGCGCAGCTTCGCATGAACGCATACATGGAGCAAGTTACAACTGCTCAGTGCTCTCAGCTGGAAGGTAAGCCTTATTGACATGAAAACGAGATTGTAGTCAGCTGGCGAGACGTACCGAAGTCTGTGCTAAGCTTCGAAGTTCAGCTACTTGACGGCTCACGAGGATGGTTCGAAGCGAAGAGCTTTGGCCCTGTCACGATCATTCAGGCTCAGTGATGCCCCGTAGCCTTCAAAGGCAGGGATCTCGTGGCGCTATAGTTCCTGGTGGAACTGAAGTGACAGTGGTTGTCTACATGCTGCCGTGGCAAAGGTCTTCAGCCAGCTTCTATGTCACCACTCCAGTGGACCCATAGCACTCTTCCTCGTAGCGAACCATGAGGTGGCTCACGTCCATCAGCTTGCCTATGAGACCGAACAGTATAGAAAGATTGGAGTCTCTTGTATTTCCTGTCGCGATCCAAAACAGCAGCAGTGCGAGGAGCTCGGTTAGAGTCCTCGGATCTGTGTTGTGACTCTTGGTCGTTTGCTCACCGTCCTGAAGGAAGGCTGGTTAAACCTGCGCCGCTGCACGTACCTAGTGTTTGATGAACTAGACTGTATGGTGGATATGGGGCTTGAAGACGAAGTTCGCTTCATTGTAGACTGGATTCCACGTGACCTTCAGGTGCCAATATGGCTAAACTAATTCTCAGGGCAACTCTCCGGGTAACTGTAACCCACTACGCCTATAATAATCGTAACTTACGGTACATTGGGTGGTAGGCCGGCGTTATATGCTATCCTTAGTGGTTTTTCGGAGAAGCATGGTATCCGCTAAACTCTTACAAGGAATTATGTACCAATTGTTCATTCAGAGGCTGACGACGATGAAGAATTATGCCTAAAGGGGGTGTGCGCCACAGTTGACAGCTGATCAAGAACAAGCTGTTGTAATAAGTCGGAGCATTACACAACCCATCCGTTACGATATTAGCATTGTGTGACACCTGGTTGTTCATTCGCTGTTGAAAAATGCTTTATTACTCATATTAACGCGATTACTTTCCCGACATCAAGCCTGTCTAAGGCAAGTTTGCGAACGAGTCCCAAGCACCGGCATGGCTCAGTGGTTGAATACTGGGCTGGCACGCAGCGCACCCGCATTCAAACCCCACTGCATGCTCGGTGTTTCCATTTACTAAGGAATGTAATAAGAAGTTTCGAAGACTATCATGGTAGGCCGCGAGACTTACCCACATACAATCTTTTTAATAAACACTCACTGATGAAAGCAAATCAAATTTACTATCATAGATTACTATTGCTCATAAAAAACAGGGACCACATACTTGTAGTACACCGATTTCATCTCTATGTTATCAGTTACGCCACCAAACAACAAGGCCACCCCTCACGCGAACAAACTACGGATGCCAGGACCTACAATATTAAATACCCCAGCTATTAAACATTGTGAGGCACGACATAGACTTTTACGCACCCCGTTCCGAAAATTTTGTAAAAAAAAACTTCTCTTACATTCTACGATAACTTTTCAATGACAATTTATACTTCGTTTAGACATGTATTTCACTGTTTTTATTATACAGTTTCAACCTTCATTATTTAGAGTATTGGGGTACATATTCTTGAACTGTTTGAATGATGTGTTTTTAATGAAGTGTTTGCATGATATAGTTGGTTTCATGAAGTGTTTGCATGATATTTTTATTTTCATAAAGTGTTTTAGTGTATCGTTTCATAAACTGTTTGTAAACGTTTTTGCTGAAGAAGGAGGAGGAGGAGGAGGAGGAGGAGGAGAAGGAGCAGAAGGAGAAGAAGGAGATGGAGAAGGAGAAGAAGGAGAAGAAGGAGAAGGAAAAGGAGAAGGAGGAGAAGCAGAAGAAGGAGGAGAAGGAGGAGGAGGAGGAGAAGGAAGAGGAGGAGGAGAAAGAGGAGAAGAAGGAGAAGAAGGAGAAGGAAAAAGAGAAGGAGGGAAGCAGAAGAAGGAGGGGGAGGAGGAGGAGAAGGAGGAGAGGAGAAGGAGGAGGAGGAGAAGGAGGAGGAGAAGGAGGAGGAGAAGGAGGAGGAGGAAGGAGGAGGAGGAGAAGAAGGAGGAGAAGAAGTAGAGAATCCTGCGGATTAAAGTAAACTAATTGCATTTGAACTAGAACACGTTAAGAGCAGTGATTGTTAAGCGTAGCTTACCAATCAATGTTTCAAGATAAACTCCACAGATTCAGATGTCATGAAAAAAATTGATATTTGCTTTTGGTTTCTTACAAACGGTGCAATGGTTCATTTATGAAAAACAAAATTTTGAGATTAAAAAAACGAACCGGCGAACTCTACAGCGAAAGGATTTTAGGTTCAGTTCACGCTTTTTTGAAACGTTTTATTTACTATTGTGTCTGGGGAACTATAACAGCCAGAGTTCTTTAAACTGTACCAAGGCTGTTTAAAGTTTATTACAACAAAAGAGTCTTATACCGGGGTCTATCATGGTTTCGCGGACGTACCTCCGTCGGGGAGTAGGGTTAAAAATATATACTAAGATATTGCAAAAAGAAAACCACAAGGCATGCATTGTCGTGCGAATTCGAACCAGCAACCTCGCGATCCTCAGCGTGCTGCGCTAAACACTACGCCTCAAAGCGTACGTTGGCTGGAATGCTAACGGGAAATAATTTATATACACCATGCATCGTTTGCCACTCCTCAGAGCTTCAAAACTTTAACGCGTCTTTGTTTTCAGGAACGAGATGGCGCGACAGACTCGCGTGGGGTGCGTCAAAGGTTGTCGCCTCTACGAAGTGCTGCTTCCACGGAGCGTGGTTTCTCCTGCTCGCTCGCTTATCAGACTCGCAATTCGGCCCGCCGCGGTGGTCTAGTGGCTAAGGTACTCGGTTGCTGACCCGCAGGTTGTGGGATCGAATCCCGGCTGCGGCGGCTGCATTTCCGATGGAGGCGGAAATGTTGTAGGCCCGTGTGCTCAGATTTGGGTGCACGTTAAAGAACCCCAGGTGGTCGAAATTTCCGGAGCCCTCCACTACGGCGTCTCTCCTAATCATATGGTGGTTTTGGGACGTTAAACCCCACATATAAATCATCAATCAATCAGACTCGCAATTCGGGAGAGAACGAAGGTCACTTAGCACGCTGCCACGGCCCCGTTTACGAAAAGAGTGCACTGCTGAACCACGACGCCGGAAGAATTGGGACAGTTGCTCATGCTTGTCCTGTGGATACTTGTGCGCTCGTTTCATGCATCTTCCTTTATCTTTGAACAGCGGGCTTTCAGTGTCGAGCTGTGACAGTTGGTTGTCCGTGCTTTTTCTGTGTATATGTGCTCATTTCGCGCGTGCTTTCTGCTTGAAATGTGCGTTGCAAGTTTTGAGCTGCTTGCCGTTCCTAACGTGTGTTTGCAATTTCTCGTTGTTGCTGAATTAATACACACTAAACGCTGAACTTCCTCTGTAAAGACGCATTTTATTTTTGTGTTATACTGTTTTTTATATCACGGATCAGCCACATTTGTTTGAGGAACGGGCGCTCAAATATTTGTACTTTATTGTCAGAAAAAAAATCTTGGAAACGTTCTCGAAGATCTTGTTTATTTTCCCAGTATGAAGCAACTTTATGGAATGGTCGACACTAGCAAGGCAATTATGGACAAGAATAATAAAAGATACATATTACACCATTATATTCCCCATTTGTTCTTCCTAGTTCATCTGGTGGTTTATACTCAGTTTCCGTGAGTTGCCAAGAGTATCACTTCATTGGGTACGACACCGCCTCTGTGCCAACAGTAAGTTATCAAAAATGTTCAGGAATACTGAATAGCGAATTATAAGAAATTTATGTGTGAAAAAAAAAACTTCAGTAGTTAAT